ATTCATCATATGGTTTATGTAATATATCTAACATTTCAGTTGCTAATGTTAACATCACTTAATAATCAAGTTTTTACATTTCAATTTCTTTAAAAAGGTGGTCCAAAATAACACTTCTTGAAAAGGTTATGCTCGCTAGGTAAATAAAAAAGTGCTGCTTTAGAGATAAATAGTCACATGAATTTGAAAAGAAAATTATAATTTAATTTTACCCCACCTCGACAGCCACCAAATCTGGCAAAATAGATTAATTTTCAAGGTTCAAATAAAAAATGCCCCCAGTGGCCCCCAGAAGCTATACCATGGACCCCAGTGGCCCCAGAAGCTATACAGGGGCCCCCAGTGGCCCCAAGATGCTATAAGGTGGCCCCCAGAAGCTATACAGGGACCCCTAGTAGTCCCAAGAAGCTATATGGTAGCCCCCAGAAGCTATACAGGGGCTCCAAATGGCCCATAGAAGCTATATGGTGACTTCCAGAAGCTATACAGGGGCCCCCAGTAGCCCCCAGAATCTATACAGTGGCCCCTAGTGCCCCCTTAAAGCTATATGGTGGCCCCAGAAGCATATCCAGCCGCCCCTTGTAGCCCCCAAAAGCTATATGGTGGTCCCCAGTGGCTCCAAGAAGCTTTACAGTGGCCCCCAAAAGCTATACAGGGGCCCCTAGTGGCCCCAAGAAGCTATATGGTAGGCCCCAGAAGCTATATGATGGCACCCACAAGCTATACGGTGGCCCCAAGTAGCCGCCAGAAGCTATAGAATGGCATCCAGTGGCCCCCAGAAGCTATATTGTAGCCCCCAGAAGCTGTACGATGGCCCCCAATGGCCCAAAGAAACTATACAGGGGCCCACAGAAGCTATACAGTGGCTCCCAAAAACTATATGGTGGACCCCCAGTGTCTCTAAGAAGCTAAACAGGAGCCCCCAGAAGCTATACAGGGACCCCTAGTAGCCCCCAGAAGCTATATGGTAGCCCCTGGAAGCTATACAGGGGCTCAAAATGGCCCCTAGAAGCTATATGGTGACTTCCAGAAGCTATACAGGGGCCCCCAGTAGCCCCCAGTATCTATAGAGTGGCCCCTAGTTCCCCCTTTAAGCTATACGGTGGCCCCAGAAACCTATATGGTGGCCCCCAGAAGCATATCCAGGGGCCCCTAGTAGCCCCCAGAAGCTATGTGGTGGTCCCCAGTGGCTCCAAGAAGCTTTACAGTGGCCCCCAAAAGCTATACAGGGGCCCCTAGTGGCCCCAAGAGGCTATATGGTAGGCCCCAGAAGCTATACGGTGGCCCCAAGTAGCCGCCAGAAGCTATAGGATGGCATCCAGTGGCCCATAGAAACTATATGTTAGCCCCGAGAAGCTGTACGGTGGCCCCCAATGGCCCCAAGAAACTATACAGGGGCCCCCAGAAGCTACACGGTGGCTCCCAAAAACTATATGGTGGCCCCCCAGTGTCCCCAAGAAGCTGAGCAGGAGCCCCCAGAAGCTATACAGGGGCCCCTAGTGGCCCAAAAAAAGCTATATGGTGGCCTTAGAAGCTATACAGGGGCCCCCAGTGGCCCCCAGAAACCATACGAGGGCCCCCAGTGGCCCCGAGAAGTAAGCCCAAATTTTCACTGACAAAAAATTCACGATGTTGTCAATCTGAAATGTTTCATGGCCATTAAATTTCATTGTTAGAGAAATATCCAATTGAATTCAATGTTAAATCAAATATTCACAGTGCCTTTAAAAGCTAAACGATGGTCCCCAGTGCCCCACCCCACCCCCCCAGAAGCTATACAGGGCCCCCCAGTAGTCTGATTGCTCAGATGAGGAAAGCCAATGCTTATTAAATTTAGACATTATGCCAAAATCTAGACTATGCCAACCTCTCTATTGTATAATTACATTAGATTTTATTATGATGCATGTTCTTAATGCCAAAGTCTAGACTATATGCCAACCTCACTACTGTATGAATTCATTAGATTTCATAATACATGTATTTACTAAATATAAAATATGCAGTGTCCTATATACTAGTGTAATACTATACACTAGTTTAAGAATCAACTATATGAAAAAATGTTGAAAATCAGCTAAATAATGCATCTCTACGGTAACAAATAGTGTTCTGTTACTGTTGCTATAGCAACGGATTAAGATTTTTTCTTGATTTTTGTCATACATGTCAAGCATCATACTAAAACTAATTCCTGAAAATCTCAAGTTAATATATTTATCAGTATCTGAGATATGAGGGTGTCTTATAGTACCCCCTGTATATTTTATCCGGGGGGTATAAGAAATGCTCTGTAGAGAGTTGCCCAAGGGGGCCGCTCCGGCATCCGGTGGTTTTGAGGTCCCAATCCTATATTCATGTTGATAAGTTAAAAAAACATTGTAATCCGAAGAAAACGATTGAATGTCAAAATACCTTATATTTCTGCCAGACTAACATTAATGGGGGTAGACAAACTAAACGATATTTTGCTTGCGCTTTTCATCTGGTTCGCGTCGCCACGTTGTATCTCTCAAATTACGAAATCAAATGAGACGAGTAAACATCGCTCTATAAAATTGAATGACTAGTGATCATGATCAGTGATCACGAAAATTATGTGTTGAACAAATAAAATATTTGAATGTCAAAAGAGAAGTCGTATATCCTGCAATCTCACTTTGTAAACTTCCATTGATGAAATTGAGCATTTTGATTATGAAATACAACATAATAGGTGAGCGTTACAAGTCGTCAATCATCTCTTGCCTGAGTTGATCGTGCTTTTTGTTGAATAACAACAGTCTACTCATTACTAAGGAGGCCATAAATTGATTCTGTGGTGACAACTCGAATGTAATTTTAACTAAGGAAAGTTATTTTAATTGGTCATCACGGTTCCAGAGTATGTCGTCATTTGTGCTCAGAATTGTGATTTGTGCTCTGAATTGAATTACGGTGCAAATCATGAGACTTGCAAACAAAATTGTTTCTAAAATTAATTACATTTTCATATAACATCAAATTGCATTCATGCCTCATCGATATACATTCCTCCTTGCTTGTTAAATTGATATTCTACGAATACTTGAGGATTACACATTTAAATTTGATCTGCATGCATGTTAATATGAATCCCAACAGTTTAATATTTCATTAACTTTGTGTTGGTACAGTCTAGTCTATATTCGTCTTGGAAGTAGATCTTTCCATAGTTGTCTCTTGATTTGGAAAATAAATTGCTGAAGAAGTCATAAATTAAGCATTTATTCTTACCCCATGCGGATACTTGAAAGGAGAATGCAAGATTTACTATTGTATATGATCAAAGAATATACTGTAGGTTGTGAGTAGTC